AAAAAAAAAAAAAAAAGGAAAAACATTAAATCTGCTGGGAAAGTAGGAAAAACTGTTGAACACTTTGTGTAGAAAAAGACTTTATGAATAAAACCCTGATGACATAGGAACAATCACAAAGTATCAACAACTGGGATCTCATTAAAAAGCTTGCACACAGCAAGAGAAATCACCAATAGTGAAGAGAAAAAACACAAAAGAAAAAACGTTTTCCAGCTGTTTCTCAGGCAAAGATTACTTTGAAGAACATATAAAGAACTCAAAAAAAATTAGACCTGGCAAATTTAAAGACCCAACCCAAAATGGGCATCTGAAAGGAAAATATACATCTAAGATGAAGAAATACAAACAGCAAATAAATATATGAAGTGTTCAACATCACTGGTCAAGCAAGAGATACAAGTTAAAACAACACTGAGATTTCATTTCATCCCAGAAAGAATGGCTGTCATGAAGAAGTCAACCAATAACAAATGCTAGAGGGGCTGTGGGGAAAAATGAACCTTCCCCCTGTTGGTGCAACTACTATGGAAATCAGTGTGGAGGTTCCTTAAATAACTAAAATTTGAGGTCCTATTTGACCCAGCTATTCCCCTTCTGGGTATCCTCCCCAAAGAATTAAAAACAATGTACCATTGTGATATATGAGTACCTATGTTTATAGCAGCTAAATCTTTGAAACAACCCAAATGTCCACCAATCAAGGAATCGATAAAAAAGATGTGGTCTTTTTATACAATGGAGTACTACTCAGCCATAAAGAAGGATAAACTGGAGACTTACAGATAAATGGATTAAACTAGAGACCACACTTGGGGCTGGTGAGATGGCTCAGTGGTCTAAAAGCACCTACTTAGAACAAGCTTAGCAAAGCACTGGGACCACGATTCAATCCCCCAGCACCACATGCCGGCCAGCCTGCCTCCTGGTGGGCTGAGCTAGCCACACACACACACACACACACACACACACACACACAAATAAATAAAGAGACCACACTCAAAAGTGAAATCAACCAGACACAAATGTGTTAAGATTGTATTGTCTCTTTAGTATGAAAAGCTGAAAGAGCAAATAAGATCCAAATGTCTAATACATATTATAAAATGAGAAGAAACTTCAAAAGGAAACTAGAATGGGGAAATGGAAAAAAGAAGGAAGAGGGGCCGGGGAGACGGCTCAGTAGAATAAGCGCTTCCCTGACAAGAGCAAGGGCCTAAATTCAATCCCCAGTGTGCCCCCCGACACACACCAAAAAAAAAGGAAGGGAAAACTTTAAAAACTCAATACATATATATGAGATAATTTTTTTAAAAAAATGTATGCAGTACAGGGCCTCACTACCCAGCTTCACGCCTAGTGATCCTCCTGTTGTCCACCTCCCCAGCACTATCAGGTGTGTGCCACCATGCCAGGACTCAGTAGCCAGCTCAGCACACTTGGGGGCAGACCCGGCGCAGAATATAATGCCAGGGATCAAACCCCTGTTCCTGTGCTTGCCTAAGCAGGCACTTAGTCTGCTGAGCTATCTCACTGGCCCTCCATGAGATAATTAAGATAGTTATACTACTAATTTCTTAGTTATTGAAAAGAAAGGCTTATGCTAATACTGTTTGGACAATTAAATGCCGACATCTTATACCCTGAGTAACTAATGTAAAGATAACAATTTGCAATGTATTAACCATTGTTACCCTCCTATTACCTAGTTCTGATGTTGTTTTATTTTTTCTTTAAAATAAAAAATAAATAAAATAAAAAAGTAAAAATGTGACTTTTTTCCCAGCTGTGTTCATATATCCATGTGACCCATTTCTAACTTCTCACCTAAAGAAAGACATTCATAAACTAATAGGATATATCTAATAGAAAAGTCAGATTCATTCTAACTAGATTTACTTTATTCTTTAGCATTGTGATTTTCACTGAAGTCGTATGTATGTATTTAAGTATGTGCTGTGCTAGGAATCAAACCCACAGTGAGCTACATCCCCATCCCCACATCCCCAGGTCCCCTTTTATTTTTCCAACATGTTTCACTAGTCAATAAATTGCCCATCTTGAATTCCAACTTTCAATCCTCTTGCCTCAGCCTCCCATAGTGCTAGAATTACTAAATGTATGGGCCACCAAACCCATGTTCTAATCTTGATGGAATATTAAAAAGATAATTCACTACTAAATCTAAGTAATTATCTAATAGACACTGCAGTGTGTACACAGCTGGCTAGTGCTTAGAAAAGAATGGTGATACCCTATTGTCGATCCCCGGAGGCTACATTCATGCTGGCAGTAGCCACATACAGTGGACCAAGAAAGTGAAATGCTGGGAGAATAAATCACAGCTGAAAGTTCAAAATCTTCTCACAAGATTTCACACCCAGCCACATGTAGTGGCACACTCCTATAATCTCAGTACTTGGGAGCCTGAGGCAGGAGGATCACTGTGAGTTCAAGGCCAGCCTGGGCTACAAAGTGAACTATATTAGCAAAAACCTATCTCAAAAAAAGAAAAAAAGATTTCACTCCCACTGCCAACCCTAAGTTCAAGTCTTATTTTTCTTAAGATGACAAATTTTTACAATGACAACTTAGAAGGTTACTGATTTAATACTATCTTTAAAAAAAAAGTTAATTGTGATTCATACCATAATGGGACAGTTCTAAAACCTCACACCAGTAGTAAAGACATTTTTGTATTTTACTATCACTTACAATTCAAAACCTACTATATATAATAAGCACATACCTGTAATAATTCCAGAGTCATGGGAATATTCTTAAGCTCTTTCAGCAAATCCAATGCTCCAGCCTACAAAACAACAAAAATTAAACAATGAATTCCTATGACACTAAAGCAAGTCTCGCCAACTAACTCATGTGGCTCTGACAACAAAGATACACAAAGGTACATACAATGTCTTTCAAATGGGGCTGAAACTCATCATAAAATCTACTTGCTGAGTTACAACTGGCACTTACGAACTAACTGACATATACTGTTTTGTGAACCTTTTTCGATAGTGTTTCCTTCTGTATGTGTCCTGATTAGAAATATAAAATCTCTCAGCTTGGTAGTACAACAGACCCCAAATTTCCATGGAGAGCTCCAGCCTAAGAAAGGAGCCAGCCCTGGGAAGGTGGGATGTCCAATGATGTCACACACTTCTAGCATCTACCCAGACAGATGGAGGGGACGAAAGGGAATTTCTGCTACAATTTTCATAAAGTCTCTCTTACTGACTGTATTTCATAGAGTGTCAAGAGAACACTGCTACCTGCCTGATTCATGCATTGCCAAGAGCAAATTCTGAAAGAAAACTCAAAATTAAGATTTTTTTTTTTACAATCTTAACCCTATTTACTGCCAATTCCCACCTAGAGTCCAAGCTCCCAGGCAGATGATAAAAAAGAAACAAAATATGATTCATGAAAGAATTACAGAAAACACTTGTAATTCTTTAAAATTAAATGAAGAACAAACCAGATGTGGTGGCACACACCTGTAATCCCAGCACTCGGGAGACTGAGACAGGATTGTCACAAATTTAAGTCCAGCCTGTGCTGTATAGTGAGTTTAAGGCAAGCCTAAACTACACAGCAAGACCTTTTCTAAAACAAAACAAAACAAAAAAATAGGAAAGACTTATCTATGTATGTAAGCAGGATGGTTTGGACAACCAAACTGTGCATTTCTGCTTGTCTATGAAAAGAAGCAGATAACAGTGGATTTGTTTTGTCTCCTTTTTTCAATTGATTGTACTTTTTCCTCTTAACTTCTTTTCCTTTTTTTTTTTTTTTTTTGCAGAACTGGGGACTGAACTCAGGCCCTTGCGCTATACTGAATTATCTTCCCGGCCCTTACGTTTTTTTAGTTTTTTC